TTTTTTTTTTTTTTTTTTTTTTTTTTTGGAATTTCGTAACAGAGTCAGTTATATGTATTATGTACTACTGTACATCCGTTTCAATGTTTCATACTACATACTACCTCTGTTTTTTTTTTTGACACGTTTTGATTTTAGCATTATACACTCACTCCCATTTTATCATATTTTGTGCTTTATACATAATGAAAAATATAGTCGTGTGTAATCTTGTTAGATTCGTCACGATATATATTTTCAGAATATAAAATTTTTATAATTTTTGTTTAACGGTAATTAAAGATATTATTAATAGTTGAAATTGTGCATTGACAAACGTGACTATAGAAATGTGTCAAACAAAAAGAAGACGGAGGAAGTATTATTTATAACTTTGGTGGACCGTACGGATTCCCAGGAAAAATTTATTTGTAAGTATAAAATTAAGAGATAAAATATCGATGCATGTGATGAGCAGAGAGATAGTGAGAAATGACAGCCTAACCATAAAATTAAAAATTTGTTACAAATAATATGTACAATCTATTTTAACAAAAGTATAAAATAAAGGTAGTACTCCCTCCGTCCTATAATACTTGGGACGTTAGGATGGAAACGTATTTAAGAAAATTACAAGTGGGTACATTTAAAACATTTGTTTATTATATAAATGATTCTCTTTTGTATTTTAATATTGTAAGAAAACAAAAAGTGGGGGAGGTAGGGGTAGTGAAGAGAAAGAAAATGTAGGATTTAATTGGGTTTTGGGATTTGTGGTTTCAAAGAGAGTATATGAATTTCTTTTTTTTTTAATTAGTGGTCCCATTCCATATTTAGTGACGTTTCAAGTATTTTAAAACGGATAAAAATGGTAATTATGTCAAGTATTATAGGACGGAGGGAGTATATCAATTTCAGTTCTAATTTATTTATATTTTTTTTAAGGCCAAGATATATTTTTTTTTCCATAGTTTAATGGATATCATTCATATTTTGGGTTGAAATGATTGTTTCTAAAATTCTAAATCATTAATTTTTGTATGGATTTGAGTATTAGAACTCCCTCGACTAGTAACAAGTCTACTGTATGTCGCAGAGTATTAGGTAATGGGTATTTCAGACAAATTGTGTTTGTACTACATATTTGATTTTGAGTTTATTTTGGACCATAAACTAATTTGTTCGTATATTTTCCTCGACTCATTTTGAGTTTAACACTAATTGCAAACTCTATTTTGATTAAATTTGTGATTTATAATTATGATAATATATAGTCATGTTAGATTTGGTTGAACTCATTCTAATGTATATTTTCATATTATCAACCTTTTTTTAGATAAGGATTTTTTTTTTTAAAAAGGCAAAAAAGTTCGTAATATCTTGTTTTGGTTGTAAGTAGGCTTGTTCACGGATCGGATATCCGAATACTCGGATATCAAAAATTGATATCCAAATTCGATCCGAAAATTTTGGATATCCGATATTCGGATATCTAAAATTTTCAGATCGATGCTTCGGATATCCATTATCCAATATTAAGTAAAATTGATTATGATTACTTTCTAAATTTCACTAATTTTACCGTTTTTTTATCACTAAGTTGTACAACATATTTTAACAAAATAGTAGCCTTTTTGCAATAAATATTATTATCAAATATATTAAGAATATTATAATCTATTAACTATTATTAAAACAAAACATGCTAACATCATTAAGCGACACTTGTAAAATTCTTATGAAATTTTTTTTCGCCAAAACTATTTTTGACTTCATCATTTGTTTTCTATATTTTTTCCTTCTAAGTTCTAAAACTAAACAAATACAATATTTCTTTCAAAATTAATTTTTGAGATTATGATTGCACTTTTTCGAATAAAGAATAATGACAACTAATTTTTTTTAATCGTATATTGACAGCTATTTTAAACAAATAATATCTATTTAAATCGTGCAACGCACGGGATTAAACTAGTAAGTTAATAATGCAGAGTCAATTTTATATATATTTCACTATTTCAGCTTTTATATTTGGGATATAGGATATCCAAAATTTTGAAAATCAATATCCAAATCCGCATCCGATATCTGCTTCCGAAATGAAAACTCGGATCGGTTGCGGATCGAATTATCGGATTTTAGAATAGTTTTGTACAAGCGTAGTAGTAAGATGGACATTTACCCACTTTTTTGGTCATTGATTTTTTTTTACGGCATCGATTATCGTATGCCTTGCACGTGACTTTAAAAAACACCTTTTTCTATTTTTTTCCTATTTTCATTCTAGTTCCAGCTTCCCTGTTTTATTTTGGCCCTTAAGAACATAATTCTATGGCGAAGTGAACCTAAAACCTTAAATGAAAAAATTTCTCGACTTAAAAATGACTACACGCAAATGAAGACATTTGTTGGCACACAAAACAAGATAAATTAGACATTTGTTGGCACACAAAACAAGATAGATCTATTAGTGTTTTGCCAACTTTGAGTGGATTTAATTTTAAGGGCCAAAATAACTCCAAAACCTTAAACGAACATTTTTTGGTTTGAAAATAACGACACAAAAGTTGAGCCATTTCTTGACACATAAAACGAATCTCAAAACCATACACGAGCAATTTAGACTATAAATTGGACCCATAAGAACCAAAATTATTGTCAAACCATAATTGAGCAACTTTTCCGGCTTAAAATTTGAGAAACTAAAGAAACGGTATAGGCTCAGCTCGAGTGGGCTTGTTTCGAACTCGTGTTTGGCTCGAGATCTTAACGTGCCAAGCCTGGGCTAGGTCGACTCGAAAGCTCGTGAACCAACTCAAGTTTTTGTAATAAATCGATTAGTAACATAACCTTTGTTTCATATTTAAGACTTAAGACTTAAAAATTAATTTTCAAAACTCTAGTTTGCGTTCAAGGTTAGTCGTTAAGTGTTAGAGCTTTCATTAATTCATGGTTTTTGTTGTTGTTTAGTAGTTTATGTAGAAGAAGAACCAACAAAAGAAATAGAAAGGAAATAGTCCTACAATAATGAAAGATAGGAGCAAGTGATAGAATATAAGATTTATAAAAGCATAATTTGATTGTCTTTGAAACAATGGTTATGAATTGTTTTGAGAAGATGGGGTGTTAAGGTGGGATTGTTTGTGGAATTCGAAAAGGTGAGATTGTTTTAAGAAGATGAGGTAAATATGGGATTATTAACTTCAATTTTTCCTTGTTCAAAACCAAATTTAATCAATCTTTTTTTTTTTTATTTTTTTTTCGTTGTTTAGAGAGCTACAAGGGCGGGTGATGAGAATTGATCCCAAGATATCTTGAAACTGGGAGGGGAACTATAACCACTGATTTGAGCTATCCCTCACTCTCAATCTTTTATTATTTATACCTCGTATGATACCATAAGAAAATAAAGCACACACATAAGAGCAATAATGTTAACCATGATTGTTTGGCCAGTTTCCCAATCCCTTTCTTAAAACAATGGTGAAACGAGCTTACGTCGGAAACATCGGAAAATTCGTCGGAAAACGGCCTTTCGATGGAATTCCGTTGGAAATAGTCTATTGCAATACCCTTTGTAGGAAATTCGACGTTTTTCAAAGGAAATTCCGTCGGAAGCCACTTTTCTGAACGACTCGAACTCGTGAATAATATTTAGTAAGGTAGGTGTTGTTCACTTCACCTTATTTTTGCTAAACTTAAATTAGTTTTACTGAACTTAAATTATTTTTACTGAAGTGGAATTAATTTTACTGAGCTGAAATTATTTTTGCCGAGCTGAAATTATTTTTGCTGAACTGAAATTATTTTTACTGATTTTCTACTATATTTCTTCTTTATAGTTACTGAATTTTACTAAACTGAACTTATTTTTACTGAACTGGACTTTTTTTTTTATTGAATTGAAATTAATTTTATTAAATTGAAATTCTTTTTACTTAATATTATTTTTTTAAGGTGAAGTGAACAGGCACTGGCGGAACCAAGGGGGGGTTAGCGTGGGCCATGGCTTCCTCCATGGCTGTAAATATTAATTAGAGGTTGCAATAAGTAGCATATGCAAAGTTGTTGTAGAGATGGTTTAGTGAGGTTGCATTTTTCATTTTGTCTTCCTCATCTTAGGTTCGAATCTTGTCCCAAATTCAGGTCTTTGGGAATTTGCCTCTCTATTTCCAAAATGTATTCAACTAAATATTTTACTTTAAATAAAAATATTTAGGTTCACTCATTTAATTTATATTGTTCTAGAATTGGAAATTATTGAATTTATATTATTAAATTTTATATTTTAACTAAGTATATATAGTCCATCCGTTTCATAATAATCGCAACAGTAGGTTTGACACAAAGTTTTAGAAATATTATAGAATGAGGACCAAAAGGAGATTTTTTTAATATAAAATATAGTTAGTAGGGATATATTTAATTCTTTGTGGGGGATATAAATATTAAAAAAAGTAGTGTAAGTGGGGTTGGTAGGAGAGAGAAATAATAAAATATTTGTGGGTCCTTACCAAATAAGGAAGTGTTGCAATTAATATGAAACGGATGAAAAATAAAAGTGTTGCGATTATTATGAAACGGAGGGAGTGTCAAATTGTCTTTGAATACGAATGAGATATGAGTACATATATAAGAGTTGGCCCCCCTAACAAAAAAATTATGGCTTTGCCACTGTGAACAGGGTCGTAGTATGGTATTAGAAGTATTTTTTTATCATTAAATTATACACACTGACAAAATTAATTGGCTAATTACAAATTTATTTTTAGAATGACCATATTAAAATACAGAATACGTATTATTCAGGGATCATATTTGGTGATAGATAACACTACTTTGGTAGGAGAACAATACTGTTGTTTCATCAGTACTTGCTTCATTGCTTGATTAACATTATCCACCGGTGGAGTGGGCCTAAATGGAGCATTTCTCAGGCTCTAGGAACTTTTGTCCTAGAGGCCTCTAGGGGAGAGTAAATTAGTAATTCTGTATCTTATGAAGAAACAAGCTGTAGTGGTGGACCCTCTTATTCTGAACTTGTCGGCTGGCTGAGCAAATTTTATAGAATAAAAAAAAAAGGAAAAGACAATTTGAAATAAAAAGGGAAGTGAGAAAAAGCAAAAGGGGGCAATTCGAAAATTAAAAGAAGAGCGAGAAAACAAAACCCTTTTAGAACAAAACCCTTCCAATCAATTCAAGGAAGGGAGAAGAGAGCAATAAAGCGAACGACAAAGAGAGAAGCTAAATCGAACGGCGATCTAAACTCCGGCGAAATCTAATTACTTATTCGGAAATCTTCCTTCGTACGAGTAAGTTATTTCTATATGTTAATTCGAAGTTAGGGTTTTTATGCAATTTGGGTTATTTGGGTAAATTGGACTAATTTTGTCTTATTTACTTGTGTGAATATGCGTAATTGTATGGAAAATGGTTATTAATTGATAGAATATAGTTTAATGTAGGGGTTTTTATGTTACAAATGGAATGATATCTTGAAATTGGGAAAAAATTGATTGGTATCTTGAATTTGGGAAAAAGTGGTATTAAATTAGGTTATTTCCAAGACTTGATCTGATTATAGTATAAAAATGTTAATATAAAATGAAAATTCATTGTAGAAGTTAGGTATTTGGAATTTTTTAAGGGTTTTAAAAGCGTTTGAAGTTATGGTTTTTTAGGGTTTTGCAAAATTTTAAATAATAAAATAAATTGGTACATATTGTATTAATTTCTCTGCTATTTGTCAATTAGTATTTGCGAACTTGTAGTAGTCTCACGCAGCCATTAATCGAAGAATCAGAGAGAAATATCAATGGAAAAAACCCAGTCGAAGAGATAATTCCTGAATTACTATAAGGGGATTAGTAGTGAGTTCTTTATTGGGTACCCTTTGTTGTATAATTACCCAGAAATTGAATTTGACTGTTGGAATTATCCTGTTTCTCAATGTTGCTGCTTGGTTATTAGGGATATTTTTTGTGAAATCGTGGACTAGTGTGCTTAATCAATTGGGTTTTTCTGTCAAGACTTGTGTTGTTGGTTGTTATGGCCTTGCTTTTAGTGGTAAATTTCTGCCTTTTATCTTTTTGAATAATTTTGTAGTTTATGATTCTGTAGTTTTGATTTGATTTGATGGGTTTTCATTATCGTAGATTTTGCTTGTTGTTACTTTAATGTAGTTGTTGATTTGATTTTGAGAAATAGTGATTGGTCTAATTAATTAGTTGACTAATTTTGCATGCATTACTTACTGGTATTGAATTAGATTGACAGGAATAGTGGCTTTGTAGAATTACCTCTATGATAGTTGTTTGATTCATTGTAATCAACAATGTAACAGGGGCTAACATTGGGGTCTTGACACTAGAAAAATAAGACGTTCCTTTGCTGATAACAAATACTGAGTTTAACTCAACAATAATGGAACAGTAATTTATTTTTATATATTACTCCTAAATGTGGTCAAAGTTAGTTTAAGAATAGTGTAAATATTCAAAATAATACAACTATTGAGGAACGGAGGTAGTAATATTTAGGAATGGTATTCAGTATTAATCCAGGTTGCATTTCTTAATGATTTATTATCTTTTATGGCTTTGGTTGAACTGCCATGTGTAATTATTTAAGTAATGATCTTGTAGAAGTTACACCTGCTTTTATTGAATGGAGAAGGTTTAAATGTTAACACATTGTTAATGATCCTAGATGATTTGTTTTACTAAAATTAGTTTGATGTTAGGATTTAAATTTTAATACCTAAGTGGTACTCTGCCAAACTTTGGGCACTATTGATTTATTTAGGCGGAACTCACCATGTTGGATTTCTTTTTTCGTTATACTCCCTGGTTTGGAGTGAGGTGGAATTTTCCTTTCCTTTATAATTCTTCACTCACAACTTCATAGTGGAAGTTTTGGTCCCAGGGAGCAACATATTTTTTCTTTTAGGATAGTGGTTGATTATTGAGTGACTTCTGTGTTTTGGAGTTGTCATATATTCTCATATGCACTAAGTCAGTGAGGTTCTTACAAATGTGGCCACTTCATCAAGTGGTATAAGGTTATTTTGGTTCTGACTCAGATCAGAGTTTGCATACCATAACTATTCTTAAGATGAAGGACGTTTTAGTTGGCTTGAGCTTAAATCAATGAAAGCTGTTATAGTATTGGTTTAATAGCAACCTCTTAACATGAATTTCTGGTAGAGTTTGTGACTTCCTTACCTCTGATTGAATTGGACTAGCTGAAAATATTATCAATGGAATAAATTGCGATTGAATATGATTTAGATGAAGAGACTTGTAGGTTACTGAATATGATTTTCCTGACTTTGAATTATTAAGAAGTATCCCCTTTGAAGCTTTAGATATGTATTGGCCTTACACTCTTGAAGGCGACTTATCATCTGTTAGGTTTTGAGATAATATATTTTATGAATTTAATGGGTGTTAGTTTTTTGTTTGGTAATTCCTTTTAATTCTCATTGCTGCTATCATCAACTTGGGAAACTTGTTAATGTGCTTGAAACAATGCTTATTAGTTATTTATCAAATTAAAGAACTGAACCTATTTTGAATAAATTCTGAAAGAAGAAAATAATACCTACCTAGATAACTACCTCTCTGACTTTATTTATAAAAGTCAAAGATTAACAAAAAGAATGGTTAGGCTTAGAATTAGAGCTGAAAACTTCAGGTTATGAGAGCTATACCACTAAATTGACTGAATAAGCAGTTAAGCATCACAATGGTCAGTCTTTACCCATAAAACGTGATGACGTATGTGGGAAGGAGGAAGATGCAATGAAATAATTTAGGAGCCATCAGCTATGGTAGAAACTTTGTTTAAAAGAAATGTTAGTAGAAACCAAAATGAGTTGAAGATGTTTCTAGAAATTCTTAGTGATTTTGATTTTGAATTTTAGATGAGGATAGAAATTGCTGACTCTTCTGTTCTATCATGAATGTACGTTTTGATTTTGTTTTGTATTGTGTGTCGAGTCTTCAATTGATTAGCTTTCAATTTATGCTTCATTTCGCAGATGTAAAGTAATTATGACATCTTCCTATTTTTTCCTCCTTGGGGGTGGGGGTAGGGGTGGGGAGGGTTCCATCACTTAGAATCAGTGGCAGAGATTGTTGGGCTCTTTAGGTTGAAAGAGTACTTTTGTTATAGTGGCTTAATGGTGATGAGAATATTTAGTTATGACATTTGTTATCAGCAAAGGAACTTCAAAAGTCATATATATATATGGTCTTGTATTTGATATCTCGTTGATCGATTCGTTGTGAGGTATGATAGAATTAAGGTAGTTTCTTGGTGTGAGGTATGACGGAATTAAGGTAGTTTTAAGTTGTTCAAGGGAGATTGATCGATTCGTTAATTAAATCTTGAGAATTTGCACAAAATGTGAAGATTCTGGGAATAAGCTACATTGTTTGTTCTGGACAAATTGCATTTTGATGGAAAACATCTTTTTGTATTATAACATGATTTGAGTATGCAAGTTTGTAATACTTTTACGTACATTCATACATACTTTTTCTCCCTTGTCTGTGTAGCTTCATTTTTAAGTGAATTATTGCCACTCACTTATCCAACTGAGTTTTAATGTACTGGTACCCACTTTGCTTGGTTGCTATTTGATCTGGATGCTTCTGTTTGTTTATCTGATGCAATTGTAACGTGCTCCATTTCATTGTTCTTTTGTTGGCATTTATGAGTTTTGCTTTTGCCTGCTTATGAACCAACCTTTTTTATTTTTAAGAAAAAAAAAAAACTCTAATATTTTTGCTAAGGTTGAACCCACCTTCCTGGCTGGTTTACAAATATTCTGTATCTAATGAAGTTCCAAGTGCCTGTGATCTTGATGACAAAAACAAAGTTTGTACATCTCTTTCTACTTCGGTTATGCTAGTTTATATTGCAGTGGTTCTGAGACATAATAGTATGTTTGTAAGTGGTCATGATCATTAAGAATTTGAGTGGAAAAGTGGATGCAATTTCGTAATATAAATGAGTGTGATTCAGTCATTAAGTGATTACCTTTTTGGATTATGTAACTTGTATGCTTGACAATATTACTAGTCAGGTTTAGCTGCTTATTGTGCATATAGTGATTTGATATTCAATTTGTTTTTATCTTTTTGGTTTATTGTGAACTTTATTTGTTTTGTTTGTTGTCCTAAACATCTAAATGGCTAGTGTGTGTGTGTTAAAACAACCTCAGCCATGGTGTTTAAGAAGGACTCTTTTATAGGGCCACGAAGTAGTATTGGGGTTAGTAAATTTATTATGTTATATTTTGTTGGTTTTTTTTTGTGTTATATTGTAAATTTATTGATTTTTTGTGTATCTCCAAGCCAGTGTTAATGAGATAATGAGGGATCAACCGGCTGGTTCTAGCAACCCTCGCAAAAGGAAGCAAAAGGAAATAATTGTTGAGCCGTAACCAGATGTGCTCTTTGATGATGATGATTTAGGCTCTGGCAGTGAGGATGATTTTTCTGAGGATGATGATTATGTCATAGGACCAGCTGACCAGGGAAGCGAATTTGAGGACCAATCCTTTGAAGAAGAGGAGACTGTTTTGGTCCGGCGAAGAAGCAGCCCGAAGGTTGAGGAGAGACAAAGGGGTAACGCTGGGCCTAGGGGTCAGGGTGTGCATAGGGGTGTTGTTTGAAGAAAAGTTGCTGCACGACTTAGGGCACTACCTAGGGCACAACCAGCGTCACTGTCGCCCAGGAGTAGGAAGTGGGCCGAAGTTTCTGTACACCAGATGACAAGCGAGGTGTGTGAATTTTATGCTACATGGCTTTTTTTTTTTCTTTTTTTTGGGTATTCTAGCTGCTTGTATTGGCTAACAAATAATATCTTAAAATTCAATTTACATTGTGAAGATTGGTCTTAACTAGTTTTGTTACTTGAAACAACATGATATCGTCAACTTGGTACCTCTCATAAAACCTTTCCCCATGGCAAAGAATGTTATTATTTATTTATTTATTTTAAATTTTTTTTTTATATGATTTACGAAGTCTTATTCTTGTGAGATACTATTCTTAATCACTTAAGCGTTTAAATGTGATATTCTTTCTTATGTATGTGAGGAGACTATCATGTGCTGGAAACCATTGAACTTTATACATTTTGTCTATTCCCCTATCTATTAATACTGGAAACACCCATCAAAGATCTTTCCAAGTTGAATAACTTTTACAGTGATAAAAGTATTACTTATTGTCTATCAAAGTGTGTTTGCTTTGTAATCATCATGTTTGGTTTGCTCCTGATCTAATCAGCTGAAATCAGTCAATGTGATGAGCTGTTAGAGATAACTCACATTCTCTGCAGCCGCTACCTATTATAAAACTTATAACAAAATGTGACTTGTATTAAGAATAGGACATTGCTTATTGTGCAGACCATTTTTTAGCGCTTGGTTATTAAATGCTCATCTCGGAGCTCATTTTGTACTGCTATAAAGCAGTGGCTGGGCTATTGTTATCACTTATTATCAACCATTAGTTTCCTCTCTAACTCTTCTATTAGTGGCTCTAGGGTATTTGATTTTTTTTAATAATGTCTACGGTTCAGTCTTAGTCATTTTCTCAGAGTCCTGTTCTGCAAGTGGTTATGGCAGTGTATCTTCCAAGTGGTCTAGAAGAAGATCAATTCCATTTGAGATGGGTTTTGGCTTTTCATACAACAAACATTGTACTATTTTCTATACCAATTAACCCTCCCCTAAGTTGGGAAATATTGAAACATCTTGTTTTGTGTGGTTACTTTTAGTTTCGTTTGATGAAGCTGTGTGAAGTGAGTTATTCAGGGCCATTACTGATCGCTGGTAATTTGACATAAGCACTCAGATGATTAAGTTAGTTCTTATTGTATAAGCACAAATATGAATTTAAAAAGGGGTCATTAATCTGTCATCACATAAAGTGTCGTTTGTTTCTCATAGAACTTTTTGTGTTACTATCTTCCTTTACTAGTGAAAATAGAGGAAAGACATTGCTTTGCTTGAACATAACCAGATTTCTCATAACCACAGCTTTGCTTGAACATATTTTTTCTTTCACTTTGGAACGTAATATTGATGTGGCCGATAAAAACAGTAAATTTTTGTATTTTTTGGTCTAACCTTTCTTTCATTTTACGTGAGTCACTAACGACGAGAAAATCATCGTTAGTGACTCACGTAAAATCCTGAGTCTTTATCTTTATGTTGGAATTTACTTGATAATTGTTGTAGGCTGAGGAAGAAGGATTTCAGCCACAAGGGTTTCATCCACAAGGTTTTCAGCCACAAGGGTTTCATCCACAAGGTTTTCAGCCACAAGGGTTTCAGCCACATGGGTTTTAGTCTCAAAGTGTGGAGTCACAAGGTTTTCAGTCTCAAGGTCTTCTGTCACAAGGTCAGCTAGTGAAGCAGAAGGACCTTGTTGTTGTTACGCAAAAAACTTACTGTTCTGGGAAGGTACCATGCATTGTTTATTCATTTGGTTTTAATAATGGTACCAATATTTCACAGGAATTTAATGATGTTTTCAGTTGGTTTTTTTTTTTTTTTTTTTTAATTTTCCCTTTTGTTATTTTGTTTTCAGTCCGCAAACTTCATGTGTAAAGTTGATGCTATTAGTGATGTGTTGAAGGCGTTGTCTTTGGATAAGGATAGGCGGGCGATAATTGAAAGATGTGGGTTTGGTGACCTTTTCAATATAAAGATGAAGAAGACGATGTTGAATCGGGGGTTTGCTTATTGGCTGATGAGTAGGGTGGATGGTGAAAAAGGTATTTTTGAAATGGGTGATGGGAGGTTGGTGCCACTGTGCACTGCACAATGGCGCTACATTTTTGGTATTCCTGCCGGAAGGAAGAATCTTCCTAGGCGGGTTACTGATGGTGGTTTGGCATTGAAGGATTATTTTTTTTATTTTTTTTTCGCAATTAAGGAAATGTATGGTGTAAAAGATAAGAATGGGGAGGTGTGGGATATCAGTAGAGAAGGCTGCTGAAACCATTGTTAAAATGCCTGTACTTACAAGGAAGGAGCAAGATGATTTTATGATTGGTTTTTTGGTTATGGTGTTTGGGGGGCTATTATGCCCTACTACTAGTGGAGCAATGTTAGCGGCTTCCTTGCGCTTCGTGTTTGTGTTGGAGTGGTAGCTAGGGAGTACGATTGGTGCTCGTTGGCGCACCAGTGGGTGATGAGCTGTGCTAGGGATTTTGCTTCAAAGTTTGAGGCATCTGGTTATGCTGCTAGGGCAGGTGGTTGTTCACTTTTCCTGATGGTTAGTTTTTATGGTTGTTTATGTTGATTTATTATCCCAATTGAGTTGATTTATCTATGGCAGCTTCACACTTTAATCTGTCTGTCCATTTTTTATATAAAAATATTAGCCATTAAAGTATTTAAACTTCATTCTGCTTTTCATACATCTGATGGAGATTTTGAATGCATGTATGTACTTGGTGGTCATTGTATTTGCTTGGTTGGAAACTTGAATGATGTGTATAATATGATGCTGATATTCTTACCTCGATCGACTTTGTTTGACTCCGCTGAAGTGAGGTGTATATCCCAGGATTGAGGATTGAGGATTGAGGTATAGACTGGGGACAAGATTAAGGAAGGATATGAGAAGGATTTAAAGAAGACAAAGGACTATGGGTTGTTGAAAGTAAGTGGTTGAGTTGTAATTCAGTCGGTATATTTTGATTAATTTATTTGCTTTGTGGTTGATTTAAATTTGGTCCACTTGTTTTGTAGTCGTTGGATGTGGCTTATGAGGAAAGGCATCCTTGTTGGTTAGGATACCAACAATAGACAAAAAAACCTTGTTGGTTTGGGAAGTTTGTTTGGCTTATATACTTGGGTTATATGACTGGTTTGGGAAGCTATTCCTAAATGATGGTATTTCTGATACATTTTCATGATGGTAATATACACCATAACAATTTTGTTAGGATTTGGTTTAAGTAAGAGAATAGGGTAATTTGATTAATGTTCTTATTTGTGAAGTAAAATTATTTGTTTAATTAATTATTGTAAAATTAATTACGGTAATTTGGTTATTGTAAAGTAGGTTATAATACTTGGTTTGTTATTAATTGTCTAGGTGTTGAAGCATATGACCCCTGAATGGTTCGAGGAGAAGCTCACACCATGGCTTCATCGGCTGGAGCAACTTTATAGCTCTGGGTGTAGGGTGGTTGTTCGGGCACCTTTGGAGAGGAAAACCGCTTACCCGGTACTTTCGGTGTCTTCTAAAGAGTCGGAGGAAAAACAAAATGATGGGCATAATGATGAGGCGAGTACTCTTGACAAAAGACTAGGAAAACTTGATGATAAGGTTGTTATTGGTGATAAGCAAATAGGTGTTAGAGATTTGATTAAAATTGTTGCCTCTCAGCATAGAAAGACGTAGAAGCAGTTGGTGCTGTCGTAGGGGTCGTTGAGTCTGTTGTTGACAAGGAGGCACACTCTAAGGGAGCTGAAAATGGTGGGGGTGAGACTATTGTTTAGGCTAATCCGGAGGCTAACCTTGAGTCTGGTGTTGACCATACTGGGGAGCAAACTGCTGGGAGTTTAGGGCCACGTGTAGAAGAACAACCACAAACGAAAATATTTATTGACCCGCACGCCATTACCTATGCAGACTTGGTGAGTCAACAACAATGAAGTCCCACAACTTAGGTTTTAAATGGTTATGTGTAAGCCTGAAATACTCTAGTATGTTCTCAGTATTGCTTACAATTGCTTTTTAAGTTTTTGTTGTAAAGACACATACCTTGGGTGTTTTGTTTGTTTTTATTAGTTTGAAACTTGTGAATGACTCTGGGTTGTTTGAATTGAATTATTTATTGCCTTTTTATGGTTTCGTTTGAACATATTCAATGTTTGGTCCCGTCGAATAGTTATGTTCCAAGTTTAATATTTGAAGGTATATTTTGTGTGTTGGTGATGTGTCCGTAGAACCAGGAAGTAGGAGAAATTGATTTCAGTGCGGTATTTGGTGGGAATGGTACGGGTGAAGTTGGTGGTTTTGAGGATGATGTTAGTACTAGTAAAGGGGGTGTAGTTGTCCAGGACGCGGGGGATGTTCCAACAAAAGGAGGTAAGAGGAAAAGGGATAGTGTTGCAAAACGACCCCGCAAACCCTCTGAAAAGGGTTTACAATATGCCAGAAAGGGTCAAGTGTTGATGAAGGAGGATCGACGAATCCTAACTTATGTCCGTTCTTGGACACCGTAAATGGAAAGGTATATTGGGTTTGTTGGGGGAATAAACCATTTTTCAATTCAAATGTATGTTTTCTTTAGAATTCATGTTGAAAATATAAATGTCACATCTATTTGCAACGATCCTACTTTGATTGAATGTGAAGGGTAGCAGGTGCGTATGGAATTTTGCCATGGTGTTGTCTGTAGCAGCAAGCGTGCCGAGGCGCATTATGTCAGGGCTGCTGCTAAGATGTACACAAAAGAGTGGTCCGTGCAGTTCACGGGACATAGTCAGAGAGTGATGTTGGATCCTTTGGTTGCAGTGGTAATATTTTTTTTTTTTGGGATATATATTTTGCAGATCAGCTTACTAGATAAGTCTAGATCCGCTAAGGAAATTGGTGACAACATTGTCATGCTTTGCGTGATGTCCCGGCAACGAATATAGCTGTTGTGAGTTGTACTTTATTTATAGTGCTAAAAAATTAATTAGTTTATGCCATATTCTGATAAATAAATCTAAGAGATTCATGTCATGACATTTGGAAAGGTATTTGTCCCCGTTCTCATAGAAGAACATTGGTGGTGTGCTGCTTTTCATTTGAAGGATGAGAAGATATGGCTCATAGATTCCATTCACCCAGAACCATCTTTCATCCACGATGATGCCCTAGATGAGTTGGCATGAATCAGAATATAGTTACAATATAAGGGATGGATTTATATCTTTCAATTAATATGTAATAAATGGTAACAAACATGTATTCATTAAACTAGAGGGCCGGAATGGACAAGATTCTCAAGCACTTTGGCGACACCTGGCAAGAAGGACCTATGTTGACATGGCCGACAGAAGCTGTGGACATCAAAGAATCGACTGATGAGTAAGGATTGTTTTGCATGTAATCTTATATTGCTCATGTTTTGCATGGAGGACCTAACTAATTCATTCACGTGCCAATTTTACAGTATTTGTTGTGGCCCTTTGATGCTAGCTTGCATTAAGAACTCTGTTGATCGATTTCAAACCAAGTTTCTTTGGATAAGCTACCTACGTTTCGTTTTGAAGTTAGTTTGTGTTACTTCCTTATTACGAGTACTAAAAAAAATTTCTTTTGGCTAAACTGCTATGCAAGAGACAGTTGAGATTGGTAGAGCGCGACTTTTGTTCGGTGTATAACACCCTAGAAATTCTTTCCCTTTAAAATACCTATTTTAGTCTTTTTAAAATACGAAATTGGAAATTCTAAGACATTACCGCCATCGTGAAAACAACTAAGGTAACTATCAAAGACACACAACGGAAGACTCATTTTAAAAACCATTCAAACAACTTAACTTAAAAAGTCAAACCAAACGAAAGTAAAGTCAAACCAAAGTTAAATGAAGTCAACCTACGACTTAGAACCATTGTAGGCCCTTATCAAAACCCAAAAGAAACTGGGTATTACATTGGGTATTTTCAAAGCAACTTCATCCAAGGTTTCAAACACTTGTCCACACAACTTTAGCTGCGAATCAGTGGTCAATCCACTCTCAAACTTCCTAGCCTTTGCCTTTTCTGTAGCAACAAACTCTTTGGCAAATCATGACAGCTCAATAAATTTGGTATAGTACTCAGTGAAAAACATATCTCCCATTGCTAAGTTAGAAAATTCCTCAGCTTTTTGTTTCTGTACGAAACTGGGGTAAAACTTGTCCCTAACCTTCTCCTGAAACATAGTCTAGTTGAACCCAGGTAGTGCTTTTATGGTAGCCTCATTTTATTGCCACCAAAGGTCAGCTTCACTCATAAGGTAATAGGTAGCACAACCTACTTTCGAAATTTTTGGGCATCCTACCGCCCCAAACAGTTTCTCAAATTCCCTTAACTAGTTTTCCAACACTGTTGGATTAGGTTCGCCTTGATATGTTAGTGGCTTGCTTTGCGCCACCTTCTTAAACAGCTCTTCCTGAGCATCCCTATTGTTGGTTGAGTTTTTTGCTAACTGCTGGGCGACCACTGCTAACTACCTTACAACCTCACTCAACTCATTCCCTTCATTATTGCTCCCTTTTCCTCCTGCCATCTTTCTTCGCCTGAATTAAAACAAGGGGTCTTTATTATTTATGGTCATGGTTAGCTCTCAAGTTACGCACCCATCTAATTAACTTATACCTTTCATACACACACACATAATTTTAAGCTAACAAATTGAGATTGTAAAATAACAATTCCCAGAATTTGCAGCTTGATCAACCAAATTTTGATTGCTAACCAACCATACATTTAATAAAGCATCACATCAACAAATAAAAATAATTCCCATGATTTCCCAGAGTTTAGAAATGAATTATTGGAATATTTGAGTAAGAAATGGCTTATTGGAGTAGTGATATGAAATGAATGATTTGGAAACAAAATGAATGATTTGGAAACAAAATGAATTATTTGGCAGTAAAATGAATTATTTGGCAAGGAAATGAATAAAATTTTTGTTGCTGAGTAAGAAAATGAATAGAAAGATGAAATGAAATGAGTTCGAATAACCTACGCAACTTAATAGGTTTATATACTCATTGTGGCCATGCCACTTATTACTTTACTAACAAAGCAAATAATTAAAACTGCGGAAATGAAACTAAGAATCCTAATGGAAATGAAACTACAAAAATCCACTCCTTTCGAACATTGTCCTTCTTGTCCTTCGATTGTTGTAGCTTCCAGGATCAAATTCAGGGTCATCTTCCTCCTTCATTGGTTCAAGTGTCTCTGGATTTCGCTCTACTTGAATGAACTCTTCATCTTCCTCATCGTCAGATGAAATGTCAATTATAATTGGAGTTGGGGTTGGATTTGGATTTGGAATTTCTATAATGGAACTATCAACAGTATGGTTACTCTTATCCATTAGATTTCCTTCCTCTTGCCTCCATTTGCTCCTGCTTGATTACCTTGTGGTAGAGAAGAATTTCCTGATTGATGACTAGTGGAAGGGGAATCATTCCCTTCTAGATTATCATAGTAATAGTTTGGATATGGAATGAGTAAACGCTCGCAGTGATACATAAGTATCTGTAGTCAGGGTACCAATGTCCATAATAATCTTTGTATTTGGAGTAATTTGGGATGTCCCCAGGTAAGTAAAAATCAGAAAACTTTGCTTTGACAGCAAGATATGGGGGTTCGTCTGGAAGGCAATGAATTATCATAGCTGAAACACGATCAGGAAGGTCATAATGCTTGTCTCCTATGACATCGCTCATATGAGAATAGTAGAAACGAATTTTCTTGACATAGTGAAAAGGATGTTCATATTCTTTCTTAATTAGAGTACTAATTTGAGAGTGTTTGCTAGGAAAGATCGACATCCTGTAAAAGAAAAGACTTAGAAAAGAATTCCCTTTCCGAAGAAAATAAAATAACACAGTTCTTGTATGAATTTAGGTTCAATGTTCAATCCAACAATTTTACTTATTTCTAGTCACATAATTACATGCTTCCAATCAATCAATTCACATGGTCAAACATCACAACCTAAATATTAATGCATACAAGAACATGATTATTTCTAACTTATATGCCCAAATTCTTTCCTACCCAAGCTCACTAACATGCTATTTAAAGCTTTTAACACATAACAAACTAAAACTATTTTTCACTCCTCTTTAAAAAAAATTCGAAATAAATTTCAAAAAAGGCAAAAATATTCATCCATCATAAAAAAATTTCGAACACCCTAATTGAAAAAAAAAATTTGGATGTTCTCGAAAAATATTTCGGACCCTTTTAAGAAAAAAAATTCGGTCCTCTTTTAATTAAAATAAAATAAAATAACTCACTTTTAAAATTACTTGATTTAATAAACATTTGGCCAACTTTAAAACAAAATAATTTAAAACACATTTTTGGCTTTAGTGGTAATAAAAATCTCAACCAAAGCTCCTAGATATCACTTTGTAACACCTTAGAAATTCCTTCCCTTTAAAATACGAAATTAGGAAATTCTAAGACATTACCGTCACCGTGAAAATGGCTAAGGCAACTATCAAAGACACACAGCGGAAGACTCACTTTAAAAACCATTCAAACAAGTTAACTTAAAAAGTCAAACCAAAAAAGTAAAGTCAAACCAAAGTTAAACGAAGTCAACCTACAACTTGGAACCATTGTAGGCCCTTATCAAAACCCAAAACAAATTTTTTTAAGAAAAAAAACTTTGTGTTAGTCTCACAAGCAAAATATATGATAATCAAAACAATAAACCACTTCATATTCTTATAGATTCTAAGCATGATTCGCTATTCACTCATGCCCATCACGAATATGCTTCATTTACCTGAAAAGCTTCTCTTTACTTTGTCCCCACTACTCGCCATTAGAAATGGGTCGTCGTAGGGCCAAGATAAAGAAAAGGTCAAACAAACATACAAACACACAATCAACAAAGCTGAATACATAAACGTAAACAGTACACATTAACATGCTTTAATCCTATCAACACACAACTTACCTTGTTGCACTCGTTACGAGCATACAACATACCGAACAACCAACCAATAAATAATTGTTTATTTAATTTTATTACGCATCAAACAGGTTTCCCACCAAATCCCTACCCCAAATAAATTGAGGTAAACTACACCGGGAGCTAACCAGGTTGGCAAATGCCACATGAAAGTGACTGGACGTCCTGCACATAAAATAAATA